GGGGGTGCGGGGGTAGGCGGGAAGAAGATGGGTGCTCTTTTTTGAAAGTTAACGAAAGGGTAAGAAGCGTACAGAACTAAGAAAGACGGTTTGACTTTTCGTCGTCTCTCCTTTTCGGTTTTTTTTTTTTTTTTTTTTTTTAAAGCTATACTCTTCTCTCAATTTCACCTCACACTACCTACCTACCACTACTCCTAATTGTAGGCCTAACCGTGTGTAACCGTAGCAGTCAGAACCGTGTTGGTTTGGTGGCCGGGATCGGAAGAAACCCAAAAAAAAAAAAAAAAAAAACTCAGAAGTAGATTCTTTGAATTCTTCCTCGCCCAACCCCCCCCCCCCCCTTCCTTTTCCAATTGTGTTTTTTTTAACCATGATCACTCATTTATTAAAATAAACACATAAGCGGCCGGAAATCCATCATAAACAACCCGGGAAAACAAAGACAGATTTTTTTTCTCCAATCCACACAAGCTAACTGCACCAAAAAAAAAAAAAAAAAAAAGACGCTTTTTTTTTCTCCAAGGCCCAAAGGAAAGGGGGATGAACTAAAAAATTTGGCGGGAGCTGAATTCATCCGAACTGAACCAGTTTTTTCGGCAACCTTCTTTAAGACCATACTTGCACTAGCACTTCCTGAATGTATCTGACCGCAATCACGTCCACAGCTTAGTAGAAAAAGTCCTAGTGTGAGTATGCCCTAATCCGAGTGCGAGATGTTCGCTTCTATTGTCAGATTGCTTTCCAGAGAGAGCGAAGAGGGGGAAAAAAAGTCAAATAGGGTTTTCAACTTTTATTACCTTCAAGGTTTTAACAGTGAAAATACTATAAAAAAAAAAAAAAAACACAGTGAAAATACAAAAAACGAAAGTCATTTCTGGAGTAACCGCGCGTTCATGTCAGATTGGAAGATTGGGATCTGAGATAATTCCTGAAGATAGTCATTTATACCTATCATGCATATATCGGACGCCAGCTGGCACCGTGCGGTAGAGAAGAATCGCGACTGGAAAGCCGTCTAGATACGTTGCCGGGAGCTTGATGACGCTTTCTACGCTGAACATCCGAAATTGACTGCTGGATTTTCTACTCTCTCTCTCTCTCTCTCTCTCTCTCTCTCTCTCTCTCTCTCTCTCTCTCTCTCTCTCTCTCTCTCTCTCTAGGCATACCGGATCTTGGAAAGCCTATTTCCAGCTGGTAAGCAGTGACATAAAAAGCCCCAAAACTCAACCTACCGTTCCCTTTACTAGAATGTCCGTTAGGGGACCCAAACAGCACCAGTACTGGATTGTCCTTGTTTACCTCTCTCTCTCTCTCTCTCTCTCTCTCTCTCTCTCTCTCTCTCTCTCTCTCTCTC